AAGGAGTCACTAAATCACTGCAGTCATAATCTTGTTTTAGGAATTTGAAGGTACAAGTTTAATGTATACCTTTAACTGAAATGCTTGGGACAAGAGGTGATTTTTGTGGGTTGTTTTTTTTTTTTTTGGTGGTGCTGGGGATTGAACTCATGAGCTTGGTTGAACTCGTGACCTTGTGCTTGCCAGGCAGGCACTTGTGCTTGTGCAGCTGAGCTGTCTCCCCAGCCCAAGAGGATTTTGAGATTTTTGAAATTTTGAAATGTTTACATAGATTGTATCAGTTGAACCTTCTTATTCAGAAAATCCAAATCAGAGGTACCTAGCACTGAAATCAAGCTTCAGATTTTCTTAATAGGAATTTGGAGGCTATATTAGAAGGGGTGATTACACAACGACCATTCACATTTGTAGAAGTTATTATCGCAGAGGACACGTTGCCTGTAACCCCCATAAGAATGTTTTACCTTGCTTCAGCGTCCTTTCCCCATCCATTCTTGCTACTTTCTGGAAGTTCTCTTTTGTGAATGAGTAAAAGTTATGATCAGAAGCAATGGTGAATGCTGCGGGCAGGTGCCATCCAGCAGTAAGGCAGCCTGGTGAAAACAGTACCGTGGCTTTCTGGCTCTTCCACATAGTCAGCATGAACGTGGAACATTTGGAATCAGTTCGGCACATGAAGGCAGTCACGGCAGAGGACTTCCAGAACTGCTTGAGAAGGGGGAAGAATAGTGGGCTATGTGTATTTGAAGTGTGGGGCTGAGGGGTGGGTATTTTGAGGGAGATTAATGACATTGTGTCTTTTACTGTAACAGCTTTAAACATTCGCTGCAGTTTTCAATCATACCTTGTGTAATGATCTCATTACGTGCACAATTTGTATATTTTTTACAAGCTGTTGTGTATCATTTGCAAGCTGTCCAAAAGCCTATGTTAACTCTAGGTTGTTTGAACTAACAAATACTTGCTGTAAGGGTTTTTGTTTGTTTTATGTTTTTGTTCTTTGAGATACTGTTGCTGTGTTGCCCAAGTTGGCCTCATAACAAACAAAAATTGTCTTGCCTCAGCCTCCCAACCGCTGGAATTATAGGCATGTGCTAACACATCTAGTTCTCCCATTTTTTAATGGCATTGATTTATTGAACAAAATTTTTTCTACAGAAGTGTTCTGTATTGTGTATTTTACTAATTACAATGTATTTCCTATCTCTGCATTTCCCTACCTGTTTCCTTATGATGGCACAGTTAGATTTTGGCTTATATATATGTTTTTGTAAAGATCCCCCAGTGCATGATTCCAGTGGAATCTGCTCAGGCTGTGGATTATAAAGCTCTCACCCCCCTATGAGCATTCTGTCAAAATTCTCTGTTCAACTTCTTGGTCTTGTTTCAAGATGTTTAAAAGCCAGGTTTCTCACTGCATTTATTCATTTCATTATTGAACACTTACTGTGTGTCAGGCTATTTGATTACTTGAAAGTTTATTTTATGGCATATTTAATCTTATAAATCCAGTCTATTAGTGGAATGGAAAGTTTTTAAAATTTACTTTTATACACATTTGCAATATATAGATAAAACATTCAGCAGAGAATTTGTACTTTTGCATAATGTCTTCATTATTTCTCCTTCCCTTCTCCACCCTTTCTTCCCCTACCCATTTACAGGTGCTGTTTCCATTTTTTCCCTTCTGTTTTTGGTTTTCCCTTAATTCTATTTTCCCAGCCTTCTCTCCCCTCTTCCCCTGCGTTGTTCCCTTTCACATTTTATCACATTCTTCCTACTTCCTAGTGTCTATCCTCCATTTTGCTCCTTAGTTACGTAATCTTTGGGTTTCTCACACAAGAGAAACAATGCAGTTTTTATTAAACCTGTGTGTCAAATGTTTTCCCCTTAACATTGTGGTCCTGAGGTGTATTCATTTACCTAAATTTTACTCCTTTATTAATTGTATAATTTCTCAGTTACTCTTCTCTCATTGCTGGGACAAATACCCAACACTCAAAAATGAAGGAAGGAAAGGTTTATTTAGCTCACAATTACTGGAGGTTTCAGTCCGTATTTGGCTGGCTCCAAGGCAGAGCCACACAGGACAGAGAGAGCAGCCTTCGTGGCAGTGGTAAACAGTGAGAGAGCAAAGGGAGGAGTAGGAGCCACTCAAGCTGATAGCTTATCTTCTCTCCTTACATTGGAATGCAGATTACCTGCCCCAGGGCAGTTGCAGCATCCACACCTAGAATAATCACAGATTCCAGAAGCATCCCAAGATTGCACGAAGCTTTGGGGGTACACCTAGGTGCAAACCATAACATTTACAAATACCACATTTTCTATATTCATTCATCTGTTGATAAGCATATGGGCTGTTTCCAAGATTTAGCTGTTGTAAGTCGTGCAGCTATAAACATGGTTGTACAGTAGTATCATGCTTTTAACTCTTAAGGAAAATACTTAGAAGGGTTATAGATGGGTCAAGTGGAACTAGTTTTTGGTTTTTTGAGGCATCTTCATACTGATTTTTTCAGTGGCTTTTCCAACTCCCACTTCCACTGACAATAGAAAAGGATTCCCTTTTCCCCTAAAGCCTTGCTATCATTTTTTTTTATTGATTTTTTGATAATAGCCATTCTTTGTGATATTGAACATTTTCTCATATATGTTTATTTGCTGTTTGTACTTCATCTGAGGTGGGTCAGTTTACTTCAAATGCCAAGTCTTGGCATGTGACTTTGAGACTGGGTCTTTAAATTTGGGTTTTTAATTGTTTTAAGTTCATTAAATATTCTAGGTGTTAGTTCTGTGTCTGAGTGGTAGCTGGTAAAAGGTTTGCCCATTCTGTGGGCTGTTTATCCATCTCTTGATCCATTTTGATTTTAGGTTTGTGTCTAATGAGAGACAGGGGTTTGGGTTCAATTTTTGACGTGTTTGAAATCCAGTTTTTCCAGCACTAGTTTTTAAAGAGGCTGTTTCTTCCAGTGAAGATGTTTGGCTCTTTTGTCTTGGAGTTGTTTCCATCTTCTGTCCTGTTCTATTGATCCTTGGTCTATTTCTTTTCCAGTACCATGCTATTTTTAATCACTGTAGCTCTGATGCCCCCTGTCTTGCCCTTACTGCCCAGGATTGCTTTTGCCTTTGTGGGTCTGGCTCCAGGTGCATTTTAGGATTGTTTTCTCTAGTTCTGTGAGGTATGCTATTGGTGTTTCGACTAGGGTTGCATTAAATTTGCGTGACAGTTTTGGAAGTGTGTATTCACTGTATTGGCATTGGTTATCCAAGGACAGGGAGTGTCTTTCCATTTTCTGATACCCTCTTTGATCGCCTTTTTTCAGAAAATGTAGTTTTCAATGTAGAGGTCTTTTCACTTCCCTCATTTGATTGATTTCTAGATATTTCATTTTTCTTTATGCTATTGTAAAAGGTATTATGTCCATGTTCTCCCTCTCAGTGAGTGTTAACTTGTGTAGGGGATGCTACTGATTTTCTTTTTTTTTTTTTTTTTTAATGTATTTAGTACAGGGTCTACAGTGTCTCACTACACAGATGGGACTTGTAGTGATCCTCCTGTTTTCAGCCATCCTAGCACTGGGATTATAGGCATGCGGCACCACACCCAGGCTCAATCACTGTCTCATTGCGCCCCGGGGGCGGAGCTGGCAAGACAAGCAGGGATCAAACCCCAGTCCTTGCATCTGCCCAAGAAGGTGCTTTAATCTCCTGAGTTGTCTGGCTGGCCCACTATTGATTTTTGAGTGTTGACTTTATATCCAACTAAGCTGCCGAATTTGATTATTAATACTATGACTCTTTTGGTGGAGTTTTAGAGTTTGCTATGTAGGGTATCATGTCGCCAGAAAACAGTGATAATTTAACTTCTTCGTTTCCTATCCATATTCCTTTTATTTATTTATTTTTCTCTTGTCTAATTGCTCGGGTCAGAACCATATAGAGTAAGAGTGGTGATAGTGGGCATTCTTGTCTTCTTCCTGATTTTAGAGTGAAGGCTTACAGTTTTTGGCCTTTTAGTATGATGTTGTCATATGTTAATTTTGCAGAGAACAAAAGCCTTGAAAATTAAGTAAAAGTCATGTGAAATTTTCTGGGTCTTCAATTAATTTTTGAATTTTTCTTTCTAATAGACATTGTATTTCCTGCACTTGATATTCTTCGGTTGTCAATTAAACATCCCCATGTGAATGAGAACTTCTGCAATGAAAAAGAAGGGGCTCACTTCAGCAGTCATCTTATCAGTCTTCTGAATCCTAAAGGAAAGCCAGCAAACCAGCTACTTGCTCTCAGGACTTTTTGCAATTGCTTTGTTGGCCAGGCAGGGCAAAAACTCATGATGTCCCAGAGGGAATCACTGATTTCCCATGCAATAGAACTGAAATCAGGGAATAATAAGAACATTCACATTGCTCTGGCTACACTAACCTTGAACTATTCTGTTTGTTTTCATAAAGACCATGACATTGAAGGAAAAGCTCAATGCTTGTCAGTAATTAGCACAATCTTGGAAGTTGTACAAGACCTAGAAGCCACTTTTAGACTTCTTGTGGCTCTTGGGACACTCATCAGTGATGATTCAAATGCTATGCAGTTGGCCAAATCTTTAGGTGTTGATTCACAAATAAAAAAATATGTGTCAGTATCAGAACCAGCTAAAGTAAGTGAATGCTGTAGATTTATCCTAAATTTGCTGTAGCAACGGGAAAAGAGATTGAGATTAAGTTAGTGGGGTTTTTGGTTATATATTACATGATTGGTTACAGGTGATAAAAAAAGAAGGAAAAAATACTGTGGATTAAGGACAATGTCAGATCCTGTAAAGTGGTGGGGGGTGGGGAGGAGAAATAAAGTTTTTGCATTGATAAACTCTGAGATTTTCCTGTGTAATAATGGGTAGATTTTCAACAGCATAGAAACAAATTAAGAACTGTAGTCAATAATACAACTCCAAGGGCATTTTCTACCTTCCTGTAGCCACTCAGGAGAGCACAGTTCTTTCTATAACCTGCTTTTACCACTTCTGCACACCAAGTTCCTGATTGTTGGTGGCTTTTATTTAACTTCTGTGCTTTCCTTATTGAAATTTTTTTTTCCTTATTGAATTTTTAACAGCATGAACATATCTCACTTTAGGATTTACTGTAAAATTTTTTAAAATTTTGTTATAAATTATGTATTCGAAAGATATAAAATAATTTTATTTAAGTCATTTGTAAGCAGAAAATATATTTGTTTGATAATATTTTTAAGTGAAAAAATACTTTAGTAAGCTGTGTTCAATCACATCAATTCCAGCAAAGTCTCAAATTGATTACAGGTTAGGTCTAGTTTGTGTTTCCCCTGACTTCTTGAAATAATTTCATTTTGCACTTTAGTTTTGATACTCAGTCTTTTATTTTTGGTCATTTTAATTATTTCACAGGAAACTTGAACCATATTTAGTTTTAGTAGGCAATTGTGAAAGCAAGCATACATCAAACTATTATTGAGAACGCTAGAGCCTCTCATTTGAAATTAATATTTTTGAGCCCTCAGTATACTATCCCAGCAGTGTATTATACAATTTGACATTCAATCCTTAAACTGCTGTAAATGAAGTGATATCTTTGTTATGGAAAGTAAAAACAGTAGAATGAATTAGAGTAAAGAAAGAAAAATGACCATCAAAAGTATGTG